TCGTGGCCCCATAGGGAGCTCCACCGAAGGCCCCCGTGAAGGTGTTCGCATGCGTCCCCCCCGCCCAGGACAGCGTTTCGTGGCCCCATAATGAGCTCCACCGAAGGCCCCCGTGGGGGTGTTCGCATGCGTCCCCCCCGCCCAGGACAGCGCTTCGTGGCCCCATGGGGAGCTCCACCGAAGGCCCCGGTGGGTGTGTTCGCATGCGTCCCCCGTGGGAGTGTTCGCATGCGCCCCCCCCGCCCAGGACAGCGCTTCGTGGCCCCATAGGGAACTCCACCGAAGGCCCAAGTGGGTGTGTTCGCATGCGTCCCCCTCACCCGGTACAGCGTTTCGTGGCCCCGTATGGAGCGCCACCGAAGGTCCCCGTGGCGCAGTCCGCATTGTTTTGTTCGTTTTCGGTCGCGTTGTGTACCACGCCGCTCGTTCCGGCACACCCCTAGCACAGTTCGTTGCCTCATAGGGATCACCACCGAAAAAGTGAATCACAATTGCGGTACTCACACCTGCATATGGTTGGGTCCTTCGTCAGGCTAATTTTTGGCTATTTTTCCCAACCGTCCTGTGGTGTTGGGTCCTCGTTTTGAAGAGACGGTCCCCGCATTCTCTTCCTCTCGTGCCCCCCCCTCCTCCCTTCCGTCCGCATGCGTCCCGCACACCCAGTACAGCGTTTCGTGGCCTGAAGGAGCCCCACCGAAGGTCCCAGTGGTACCGTCCGCATGCGTCCCGCACACCCAGTACAGCGTTTCGTGGCCCTCTTCCCCCACCTCCTTGCGTTTCACCGACCCAGTACAGCGCTTCGTGGCCCCATAGGGAGCCCCACCGAAGGTCACAATGCTACTGTCCGCATGCGTCCCGCACACCCAGTACAGCGTTTCGTGACCCCATAGGGAGCCCCGCCGAAGGTCCCACAGCTACCGTCCGCATGCGTCCCGCACACCCAGTACCCCTCCTCCCTGCGTTTCACCAACCCAGGACAATGTTTCGTGGCCCTATAGGGAGCCCCATCGAAGGTCCCAGTGCTACCTTCCGCATGCGCCCCGCACACCCAGTACAATGTTTCGTTGCCCCATAGGGAGCCCCACCGAAGGTCCCAGTGCTACCGTCCGCATGCGTCCCGCACACCCAGTACAGCGTTTCGCGGCCCCATAGGGAGCTCCACCGGAAGGTCCCAGTGCTACCGTCCGCATGCGTCCCGCACACCCAGTACAGCGTTTCGTGGCCCTCCTCCCCCTCCTCCCTGCGTTTCGCCCACCCAGTACAGCGTTTCGTGGCCCCACAGGGAGCTCCAGCGAAGGCCCCAGTGCCACCGTCCGCATGCGTCCCGGAAGCCAGTTTTTGGCATTTTCACCCACCCAGTACAGCGTTTCGTGGCTCTCCTCCCCCTCCTCCCTGCGTTTCGCCCACCCAGTATAGTGTTTCGTGGTCTCATATGGAGGCTCCACTTGAGGCCCCAGTGTCACCGTTCGTATGCGTCCGGGAAATGTAATTTGGTATTTTCACCCGCGCAGTGCACCGTTTCGTGCCTTTATAAGGGGGCTCCACCGAAGCCCCCAGTGGGACCGTCCGCATGCGTCCCGGTAGCCCAATTTGGCATTTTCACTCACTCAGTAGACCGCTTCGTGGCCCCATTGGGAGCTCCACCGGAGCCCTCAGTGGGACCGTCCGCATGCGTCCCAGAAACCCAATTCGGCACACCACCCACACAGTACAGCGTTCCCCCCCGTCCAGCGCAGCGCTTCGTGGCCCCATAGGGAGCTTCACCGAAGCAGATATTCACGCTTACGGTGCCCACAACTGAATATGGTTGGGACCTTCGCCAGGATAATTGAATATTCCTCCTGTAGAGGGACAGGCCCGACTTAATCCTCGCTCCTCCATGGCCCGAACTCCCGTCCTCGACCCCCGGTGTCCCCGCTCCTCGCGATCCCCGACCTCCGCGACTCCCTGGACCTCGGCCCCGCGATGCCCGGTTTCCGTCGGGCGTGTCCCTCCACAGGACAGGGCTGGACCTGAACGGTGTTTTTGGCGATTTCGTGGGTCGTTTTCGTTTCGACTTCGTTTTGCGGTAAAGGCGGAGCCAAAAGCGAGGGAAAACGAAACGAAAACGAAAACGAAAAACACCGTTTAGGTTTAGCCCTGCTACAAAAGGAATATTCCAAAAGAGTGAAAACAAGAGTCTGTGATTATTTTGGAACATTATGTGACTATTTTGGGGCATCTCTTGGCAATTTTTCCCAACCATCCTGTGGTGTTGGGTCCTCGTTTTGAAGAGACGGTCCCCGCGTTCCTCTCCTCCTCTTCCCCCTTCTCCCTCCTCCCTCTTCCAGTTCTCCTCTCATCTCCTCCTCCTCCTCCTCCTCCTCCTCCTCCTCCTCCTCCTCCTCCTCCTCCTCCCACTCCTCCCCCAGGTGTGGCACTTGTTTGCCCTCCTGGGTCTGCGTAGCCGGCCCGCAGGATCAGGGTCGGCGCAGCGGGGTCCGCGGTATCAGGACCTGTGTCGCTCCAGAGGCGAGGATTGGAGCATCCGGAAGCTCAAATGGTCGCCTCCTCGCAGCACCACCGGAGCGGCACACCGCCTCAAGGAAGGCGGCCGCGAGTGGGCCAGGCGACTTGCCCTTGTCCCGTTCCGTCGCACTTATTCGCCTAAGTGCTCCCTTCGGGGATGCGACGTTCGTTGTCGCTCATGCACAGCTCCCACAGCTCCTCCCACTCCTCCCTCCTCCTCTCTCCTCCCCTTTCTCCTTGCGTTTCATCCACCCAGTACAACGTTTCGTGGCCCCATACTAGGGAGCCCCACCTACGGTCCCAGTGGTACCGTCCGCATGCGTCCCGCACACCCACCTCCTCCCCGCGTTTCACTTACCCAGTACAACGTTTCGTAGCCCCATAGGGAGCCCCACCGAAGGTCCCAGTGCTACCGTCCGCATGCGTCCCGCACACCCAGTACAGCGTTTCGTGGCCCCATAGGGAGCTCCACCGGAAGGTCCCAGTGCTACCGTCCGCATGCGTCCCGCACACCCAGTACAGCGTGTCGTGGCCCTCCTCCCCCTCCTCCCTGCGTTTCACCCACCCAGTACAAAGTTTCGTGGCCCCCTAGAGAGCCCCACCGAAGGTCCCAGTGCTACCGTCCGCATGCGTCCCGCACACCCAGTACAGCGTTTCGTGGCCCCATAGGGAGCCCCGCCGAAGGTCCCACAGCTACCGTCCGCATGCGTCCCGCACACCCAGTACAGCGTTTCGTGGACCCATAGGGAGCCCCATCGAAGGTCCCAGTGCAACCGTCCGCATGCGTCCCGCACACCCAGTACAGCGTTTCGTGGCCCCATAGGGAGCTCCACCGGAAGGTCCCAGTGCTACCGTCCGAGTGCGTCCCGCACACCTAGTACAGCGTTTCGTGGACCCATAGGGAGACCCACCGAAGGTCCCAGTGCTACCGTCCGCATGCGTCCCGCACACCTAGTACAGCGTTTCGTGGCCCTCCTCCCCCTCCCCCTTGCGTTTCACCCACCCAGTACCGCGTTTCGTGGCCCCCTAGAGAGCCCCACCGAAGGTCCCAGTGCTACCGTCCGCATGCGTCCCGCACACCCAGTACAGCGTTTCGTGGCCCCATAGGGAGCTCCACGGAAGGTCCCAGTGCTACCGTCCGCATGCGTTCCGCACACCCAGTACAGCGTTTTGTGGCCCTCCTCCCCCTCCTCCCTGCGTTTCGCCCACCCACTACAACGTTTCGTGGCCCCTTAGAGGGCCCCACCGAAGGTCCCAGTGCTACCGTCCGCATGCGTCCTGCACACCCAGTACAGCGTTTCGCGGCCCCATAGGGAGCTCCACGGAAGGTCCCAGTGCTACCGTCCGCATGCGTCCCGCACACCCAGTACAGCGTTTCGTGGCCCCATAGGGAGCCCCACCGAAGGTCCCAGTGCAACCGTCCGCATGCGTCCCGCACACCCAGTACAGCTTTCGTGGCCCCATAGGGAGCCCCACCGAAGGTCCCAGCGCTACCGTCCGCATGCGTTCCGCAAACCCAGTACAGCGTTTCGGGGCCCCATAGGGAGCTCCACCGAAGGCCCCAGTGCCCCCGTCCGCATGCGTTCGGAAGCCCAATTTGGCATTTTCACTCACCCAGTGCAGCGTTTCGTGGCCACATAGGGGGCTCCACCTTAGGCCCCAGTGCCACCGTCCGCATGCGTCCGGGAAATGTAATTTGGCATTTTCACCCGCGCAGTGCAGCGTTTCGTGGCCCCATAGGGGGCTCCACCGAAGCCCCCAGTAGAACCGTCCGCATGCGTCCCGGAAACCCAATTTGGCATTTTCACTCACTCAGTAGAGCGGTTCGTGGCCCCATAGGGAGCTCCACCGAAGCCTTCAGTGGGACCGTCCGCATGCGTCCCAGAAACCCAATTCGGCACACCACCCACACAGTACAGCGTTTCCCCCCGCCCAGTGCAGCGCTTCGTGGCTTCATAGGGAGCTTCACCGAAGCAGATATTCACAATTATGGTACCCACAACTGCATATGGTTGGGACCTTCGCCAGGATAATTTGTATGTTTCGTCCACAATCTCCCTGCCGGAGGACATGCCCGACCTAATCCCCGGTCCGTCGATCCCCGATCGGTGATGGCGAGATCCATTCTCCGGTCTACCTGGCCCCCTCAGCATCGTCCTCTCGCTCCGCCTCTTCCACCTCCTCCCGCTGCTGCGGTGCTGCTGCTTCTGCGCCCCGTCTCCTCAAGACAACCCTCCTGGCCCGCCCAGACAGCCGCCGGTATGATCCTTTCGATCCGCGGCCCCAGAGGTCCCGACCCCTTCCCCGGGGGTGGCTTCTCGCCCCAGAAACCCCTTCTTAGTGGTCCCCCGGCCCGACGGCGGTCCGAAGTCTAGAGCACAGAACGCCGGATTGGAGGGCTCACATCCTCGGACCTCTGGGCGTGTTCAGGATGGGGACGGGGAGGCGGAGGCGAGATTCCTTCGACCCTCCTGGCCCGCGTGCCCGTGCTCAGGATGGGGACAAGGAGGGCGAGGCGCCCGCCGTCAAGAAGAGACAGCCCGCCCCCCGGGGGCATCTCGGGCGGCCGGGGGGAGCAGGAGGAGGATGGGGATGAGCAGCTGCATGAGCAGGAGGGATGATGATGATGATGATGATGATGATGATGATGATGATGATGATGATGATGATGATGATGATGATGATGATGATGCTGATGCCGATGATGATGATGATGATGATGATGATGATGATGATGATGATGATGATGATGATGCTGATGATGATGATGATGATGATGATGATGATGCTGATGCTGATGCTGATGCTGATGTGATGCTGATGCGATGACGATTGTATGATGATGCTGATGATGATGCTGATGGTGATGGTGATGACGCTGATGATGCTGATGATACTGATGATGCTGCTGATGCTGATGGTGATGATGCTGCTGCTGCTGATGATGATGATGAGGATGATGATGATGATGATGATGGTGATGCTGATGCTGATGCTGCTGATGATGATGTTGATGATGAGGCTGATGATTATGGTGATGGTGTTGATGATGCTGATGCTGGTGATGATGATGATGATGGTCATGATGAGGATGATGATGGTGATGTTGCTGCTGCTGATGATAATGATGATAATGATGATGATGATGATGATGATGATGATGATGATGATGATGATGATGATGATGATGATGATGCTGATGATGATGATGATGATGATGATGATGATGATGATGATGATGATGAATGATGATGATGATGATGATGATGATGATGATGATGATGATGATGATGATGATGAGGATGAGGATGAGGATGAGGATGAGGATGAGGATGAGGATGAGGATGAGGATGAGGATGATGAGGGTGATGAGGATGATAAAGAAGAACAATAAGACGAAGATGGTGCTGGTGAGGATGGTGGGAATGATGACGCTGGGATGGTGGCAATGATGACGCTGGCGATGATGATGAAGATGGTGCTGGTGGGGATGATGTGGAAGTGCGCGCTGGCAGAAGTTCATACATGCTGACATGGAGTCTATGCTTAAGTCGGGCCTGTCCCTCTACAGGGGGAACCTTCAAACGTAGTCAAAAATAATCTGGGGACCATCTTTTGACCATCTCCGATCATCTTTGGAGCATTTTTTGAGTAGTTTCGTTTTTTCGCCCAAAGTCCGCCTGTAGCGGGACAGGCCCGATCTAAATCAGGAGGGGGAAAAAACACTCAGACACAATTCATCGTCGATCCCCAAGAAAGTATGGGAAACTATGGGAAACTGGGCGGGAAGGCAAAAAACCCGAACATATGGGAGATATGGGGAATCTATTTTTATTTGTGTGTATCTATTGGAGAGGCCTGACGGCCGGTGCCGCTGACCCTGATCGAAAGGGCTAGGAGTGGGGGGAGGAAGCGGAGGATGAGTGGGGGGAGGAAGCGGAGGATGAGGAGGAGGAGGAGGAGGAGGAGGAGGAGGAGGAGGAGGAGGAGGAGGAGGAGGATGGAGGAGGAGGAGGAGGAGGAGGAGGGAGGAGGAGGAGGAGGAGGAGGAGCTGTGCGTCTCTATCTCTGTGTGCCCTCGGGCCCCCACACCAAAGTCTGTGCGGTGCTCTCTTAGCAGCGGGCACCGCCCTGGCGCCCGCGGGCACCGCCACGAGGCGCCGCCTCGGCGAGGCCCGCGGGCGGCGCGGCCCCGGGCGCCCCGCGCGGCGCCCTCGGGGAGGCCACCCCTCGCGGCGCAGCCCCGGCGGGCCCGGAGGGCGCCGACGGGGCGCCCGACGGGGCGCCCGCGGGAGGCCACCGGGCGAGGAGCCTCGGCAGGCCCGCCCAGTCCTCCTCCGCCTCCTCCTCCTCTCCTCCTCCTCCTCCTCCCTCCGCCTCTCCCCTCCTCTCCACCTCCTCCTCCTCCTCCTCCTCCCTCCTCCTCCTCCACCTCCTCCTCCACCTCCTCCTCCTCCTCCTCCTCCCCGCCTCCACCTCCTCTCCACCTCCTCCTCCACCTCCTCCTCCTCTGCCTCCTCCACCTCCACCTCCTCCTCCTCCTCCTCCACCTCCTCCTCCACCTCCTCCTCCTCCACCTCCCGGCTGGAGAAGAGGAGTACAGTCGACCCGCAGAGCAAGGATAGGCACCCCTCCCAAGGGTACCCTCTTGCAGCCCTGCTTCCCGGGTCCATCCTTGGACACTCTCGTTGGCCGCGCCCCGCTCGAGACGCTTCGAGATGGGCGTCCAAGGGCCTTGCATCCTTATCGCGTATGCCTACTCTGCGGGTTGACTGTAGGGCTCCCCTGGTGTGGTAGAGGGCGATCAATGGAAAGGGAACATGTTGCCAAATCATTTCCAGATGTCTAAAACATGTGCTGAACAACATCTTCGGGACATTGTTTCGACATGTGAAACACACTTTAAGTTCGGTGATAGGACTGTTAGGGTGTCCAAAGTCGTTGCATCCACAACCCTAGTGCCTTAGCGCAAGCATTGCCCTTGTGCGACATTTGTTTTGCCTCTCACGTCGCCTCCGACGTGCCCGTCGCGCCGAGGCCAGGAGAAATTCGCATGCAGAAGGAGCTGGACGAGATGGAGCTCCCCCCGCAGGTCACGATTGACTTCCCGGACCAATTCCCAGTCGCGCCTCGATATGCGAGCCGAGCTCTGGCGCCGGCTCGTGGATTTGCGATCGCTGGTTTCGCTTGCCCGATGCGGCATTGGCGTGTCTTGACTCGTGTTAGATCCTTGACTGAAGGTTTTCGCCGCCGACTACACCGCGAAGGTCGCATAGTGAATGCATCGGTTGATTGTTCAGGCGTCCGAGACATCCGTGGACGCCGTCTCTTGGTCACACAGCCTCCAGCAAGAAGACATAACATCGGGTGGTGAGCGCAGACAAGGTGTATGTGCTGGACCTTTCTTGGTCTGCTTCTGTGCTCGTCCACAGTGTCGGACGTGGTTGCTCATAGCTTGGGTTGGAGTTATTCTTGTTGAGCATTTTGAGCATTGCAACACTGCACTTTGGTAAAAGTCCCCAAAGGATCCTGATTGGTCAGCTCGAGGTGTTTTCAGGCAGGTCCCGCAAGACTCCAGACGTTGGTTGTTAGTTGTGAGGGGTCTCCACCTGTCTCGGAACGGTCCCAGAGCACTGGAGCACGTTTTGTTTGCTCGCCCGTGGTGCTCTTGATCGCGCATGCCTCTTTGACTTTGATGTTTTGGTCTGGTCGTTCGCCTTTTCTGCTGGCAGACAAGGACAAGAACAACCTCATGTCGTTCACGATTACGATCGCTCCAGACGAGGGCCGCGCGCTTGTACGGCCCCGGTAGCGTGCGCCGGATCGTCGACGGGAGGAGTAGGGGGCCACATGTGAACCCTACCCCTACCCCCCACGATTTCTGAGGGGGGGGGCAGGGGCAGGGTTCGCATGTGGCCCCCTAAGGAGTCCTCGTGCCTCGCAAACGTTGGCGCCTGCCCGTGCGGCGCCCAGGGACGGGGCCAGGCCCGAGGAGGAGGGGAGCCCCGCAGGCCCCTGGGGACCGCACAGGTCGGGCCAGAGGCTTCCGGCATTCTCGGCTTCCGCGGGGCTGTCTCTGGGTCCTTCGGGGGCAACGTCAGGGGTGGAGAGGCCCGGGGTTCAGTCGGGCGTGTCCCTCTACCGGAGGAGTAGTCCAAAATAGTAAAACATTTTTTTTTTTTTTGTTCCTCATGTTTCCTCCATCCGCAAGTAGGGGGCCGCCGTGACAGCCCAGCCTTCTCGTTGGCAGCTGCTTGCGCGAGGGAGACGGAAGGCCCGCGTGGGAGACTTCCAGCGGCGACAGATGCAGTCACTGCGGCGACGGTGGGAGAAGCCAAAAAAACATGGAAAAACATGTGAATCTATGATTTTTGCCTCTCGGTGTCCTCTTGGGGCCTCCTGGGGGCCTTTCGGGGCGGAAGGCTCGAATTGTCGGTTCGTGTTCTCCCTCTCGGGCCCTTCTTGGGGCCCGCTTGGGCAGTGTTGGGCCCCTTTTCGGTCGTCTTGGAGCCCTCTTGGGCCGCCTTGGAGACCTCTTTGGGGCCTCGTCGGCCGTATTGGGGTTCTCTTGGGGGCCTTTTGGGCCGTCTTGCGATGTCCGAAGCTCGAAAAGGCGATAAACAGAAACATGTTGAGAAACGAATGGTAAATCACGGAGCTTTGCCTCTCGAGGCCCTCTTGGAAAGACTCTTTGGGCTATCTGGGGACGTCTCGAAGCCTCCTGGACCGTCTTGAGGCCATCTTGGACCGTCTTCAGGCCAAAGTGGGCCGTCTTGGATCCACCTTGGGCCATCTTGGAGGCATCTGGGCCTCGGGAGCACGCACCTCCTGCACTCTGCGAGGGGTGGTGGCCTCGGTAAACGGGGGCGGCGACTGCGAGCGTGCTCGGGATGGAGAGAGGGGGGGTGGGCTGCAGTGACGAGGGCGATTACGAGGACGATGATGATGACAACGCTGATGGTAAGAAAGATGTTGATGGTGAGCATGATTTTGAGGTTGAGTCGGTTGAGTCCGAAAAGCCCGCCCGAAAGGCAGCCAGGCAGAGAACTGCCGAAGCCTTGCCCAGGCAGCACTCGGCACTCTCCGCGCGCCACGGCGTGTCGGGGGCCCTGGCGGCAGATCGGCGGCGCGGCGCCGCTTCCAGGTCGATGCTTCTCCCTCCCTGCGCCAGCCCCCCCCGCCGTGGTGTTGACCGACAGCCCCCTGGGCCGTCCAGCAGGGACTCCGCGCAAGAGATCAGAGGAGGAAAAGGTACCCATACCTGTACCCTCCCCTCGTTTTCCCCTTTGTGGTCCCCCTGGGAGGCCCTCGTCGCCACCGTTGGATTCGCCTCGAAATTCTGGCCAGAACGCACCCCAGGAGAGGTCAGGGATTAGCGGTATCGGTACTTTTTGGCTTCCCCAAGAGAGGGTGCTTGACTGGGCAGTGGGGTCCAGGCGCAGGAGCGTGCCCGACGGGGCATGGGCTCGGGGTGTGCTCGACGAGCAGCGACCTCGAGCGGGAAGCCGATCCTGGGGACGGGGTCGGGATGTATGTTCGGGTGCCGTCGGCTCGGGACACGTTCAGGCTTTTGCTTGTTCGTTCGCGTGTTTAGTTTTATACAGGGGGAGAGGCAGAAAGGGAGAGAGAGAGAGAGAGAGAGAGAGAGAGAGCGAGAGAGCGATCCAACCCATCGCGCCACCCGTGCCTGGGTTGTGAGTCAGAGTCGTTCTGGATGCCTCTCGGCGTCCCTTGGGATGCCTCTTGGGGGCCTCTTCGGGGCCCCTCTGGGGCCTCTTGGGGCCTCCTGGGGACCTCTTGGGGACTCTTCTGGGGGCCTCTTGGGGGCCTCTTGGGGCCTGGGGGCCTCGTGGGGGCCTCTTCTGGGGGCCTCTTGGGGGCCTTTTGCGGGTGTCTGGGGCCCTCTTGGGTTTCTCTTTCTCTAAGGGCCTCCTGACGGTCCAGGTTCATCCCTTTCGGGCCGAAAACATTCCCTATCTCAGCTTTTCGCTACTCTGGGCTTCTAAAGAAGTCATGCTGGGCGCCCCGAGAGCTGCTCTCGACACGCCCCAGGAAATCTGCAAGTTGGGGCCTTGGCCCCCCCCTAGGGAGCATGCAGAGCACTCATTACAGAGTACCCGAAAGGGACCTGAGGACACTCCGCGCGATGCCTTCTGCCTCCTCCTCCTCCTCATGCACCGCGGACTGCCTGTATCGAAGCCGCTTAGTCACAGCGAATCGTCGCCGCCCCCTGCCTTCTGGAAGTGCCCGTGCGGCCAGCTGCGGGGTTGAGCTCCGGTGGAGCTTTCTGACGGTGTGCTCCCCCTGCTGTTGTGGAACCCCTGTGGGGATCACTTCGGAGACGAAGAAAAAGGAGGAGGAGGACGAGGAGGAGGAGGAGGAGGAGGAGGACGAGGAGGAGGAGGAGGAGGATGAGGATGGTGGCTGCGTCGTGACCGACTGGAGCCAGCAGCGTACAGCGCACAAGATGAAAGGAGGAGGAGGTGGAGGAGGAAGAGGACTCATGTAACTATGTCGAATACTACTACGCACAATACTAATAAGAATGATACTGCGAATGTCAATGCACATGGGAGCAGCATATTACTATCAATTAAAACAGCGAATAATAATATTAATGCGACTTGGAATAGTAATGATGATACTAAGAAAAATAGCAGCACTGAATACTCGTACTACTAGTAAGAGGACTCGTACTGATGAAAAGAAGAGGAGGGAGACTGATACTACGGAGGCTAAACATCATATTTGTAGTAGTACAGGGAGTTCAAAAGAACTAGACGGGCATGCCCGGCCTCAGTCTCGCGGACCTACTCTAAAATCATATGTTTAAACATCCTTTTTGTTTCATGCCCTGCCGTCAACGCGCGAGTGATAGTCGAAAACCTAGTTTTAGAAATGGTCACGGCTATCTTCCCCAACCTCTTCCTCCTCCTCTCCCTTCCTCCTCCTCCTCCTCCTCCTCCTCCTCCTCCTCCTCCTCCTCCTCCTCCTCCTCCTCCTCCTCCTCCTCCTCCTCCTCCTCCTCCTCCCCCTGGCGGAGGTTGCAAAGCGATAATTTTGGAGAAATGTTTTGGGGAAGATCTGCGGGAAAATCTGAGGGATAAAGATCTGGGGAAAGATCTGGCGGAAGATCTGGCGGAAGATCTGGCGGAAGATCTGGCGAACGATCTGACGGAAGATCTGGCGGAAGATCAGGCGGAAAATCTGAAAGATAGATTTGGCGGAACATTTGGAGGAAGGTATGGTGGAATATTGGGAGGAAGATTTGCCGGAAGATTTGGCGGAAGATTTGGCGGAACATTTGGCAGAAGATTTGCGGGAAGATTTTGCGGGAGATTTGGAGGATGGATTTGGCGGAAGATACATATAGCGGAAAATTTGGCGGAAGATTTGGCGGAAGATTTGACGGAACATCTGGAGACAGATTTGGCGGAAGATTTGGCGGAAGATTTGGCGGGAGATCTCGCGGGAGATTTGGAGGATCAATATGCCGGAAGATTTGGCGGAAGATTTGGAGGAAGATCTGGCGGAAGATTTGGCGGAACATTTGACGGAATATTTGAAGGATAAACTTGGCGGAATATGGCGGAAGATTTGGCGGAATATTTGGAATATGAATTTGGCGGAAGTTCTTGTGGAAGATTTGGAGGAAGATTAGGTGGAAGATTTGGAGGAAGATTTGGAGGAGAAAATTGCCGGAAGATTTGGCGGAAGCTCCGGCGGAAACTCTGGAGGAATATTTGGCAAAAGAACAGGAGGAGGAGGTGTAGCAGGACGAGGAGGAGGACGGAGTGGAGAAGGAGGAAGAGGAGGAGGAGGAGGCGGTGGAAAAGCAGGAGCCCCCGCCAAATATTCCTCCAGATCTTCCTCCACATCTTCCGTCAGTTTTATCCTGAAGATTTTTCCGCCAGATCTTCGGCCAAATTTTCCTCCAGATCTTCCGCCAAATATTTCTCCAGATCTTCCGCCAGATCTTCCGCCAGTGTTATCCTGCAGATTTTCCGCCAGATCTTTCGCCAGATCTTCTTCCAGATCATCCGTCAGATCTTTCGCCAGATCTACCGCCAGATCTTACGCCAGATCTTACGCCAGATCTTTCGCCAGATCTTAAACTAGATTTGCATTCCAGATCTTCCGCCAGATCCTCCGCTATATTCTCCGCCAGATCTATCCTCCAGATCTTCCGCCGGACCTTCCTCCAGATCTTCCGCCAGATTTTTCTCAAGATTTTTCGCCATATGTTCTGGCAGATCTTCCGCTAGATTTTCCGCGGGATCTTTCGCCAGATTTTCCACCATATCTTCCTCCAGATATTCCGCCAAATCTTTCTCCAGATCTTACGCGAGATTTTCCGCCAGATCTTCCGCTAGATCTTCTGCGAGATCTTCCGGCAGATCTTCCGCCAGATTTTCTTTCAGAGTTATATTCCACATTTGCCGCCAGATCTTCCGCCAGTTTCATCCTCCAGATCTTCCGCCTGACCTTCCTCCAGATCTTCCGCCAGATCTTCTGCCAGATCTTCCGGCAGATTTTCCGCTAGATGTTCCGCGAGATCTTCCGCCAGATTTTCCGCCAGATTTGCTTCCAGATCCGCCGCGAGATCTTCCGCCAGATCTCCCGCGAGATTTTCCTCCAGATTGATCTTCTAAATCTTCTGCGAGATCTTCCGACGGATCTCCCGCCAGATTTCCCGCCAGATCTTCCTCAAGATCTTCCGCCAGATCTTCCGACATATCCTCCGCCAGATTTATCCTCCAGATTTTCCGCGGGATCTTCCGCTAGATTTTCCGCTAGATTTTCCGTCAGATTTTTCGCTAGATCTTCCGCCAGATCTTCCGCCAGATCTTCCTCCCTCAGATATTTCCGCAACTATTCCCGAAACATTCCTCCAGATTTATCGTCTTGCATCCGCGTCAAGTCTTCCTTTGGACACTCCCCAGATCTCTGGACAGATTTTTCCCAGATCTTACTCCAGATCTTCCTCCAGATCTTCCGCCAGTTTTCTCATACAGATTTTCCGCCAGATCTTTCGCCAGATGTTCCTCCAGATTTTCCGGCAAATATTCCTCCAGATCTTCCGCCAGATTTTCCGCCAGTTTCATCCTCCATATTTTCCGCCAGATTTTTCGCCTGATTTTCCTCCAGATCTTCCGTCAGATCTTTCGCCAGATCTTCCGCCAGATCTTACGCCAGATCTCCCGCCAGATCTTCAGCCAGATTTGCATTCCAGATCTTCCGCCAGATCCTCCGCTATATTCTCCGCCAGATCTATCCTCCAGATCTTCTGTCTGACCTTCCTCCAGATATTCCGCTAGATCTTCCTCCAGATTTTCTGCCAGATCTTCTGGCAGATCTTCCGCTAGATTTTCCGCGGGATCTTTCGCCAGATTTGCTACCATATCTTCCTCCAGATATTCCGCCAAATCTTTCTCCAGATCTTAGTGGAGATCTTCCGCCAGATCTTCCGCTAGATCTTCCGCGAGATCTTCCGGCAGATCTTCAGCCAGATTTTCTTTCAGAGTTATATTCCACATCTTCCGCCAGATCTTCTGCCAGATCTTCCGCCAGTTTCATCCTCCAGATCTTTCGCCAGATCTTCCGCCAGATCTTCTGCCAGATCTTCCGGCAGATCTCCCGCTAGATGTTCCGCGAGATCTTCCGCCAGATCTTCCGCCAGATTTTCTTCCAGATCCTTCGCGAGATCTTCCGCCAGATCTCCCCGAGATCTTCTTCCAGATTGATCTTCTAAATCTTCTGCGAGATCTTCCGCCAGATCTTCCGCTGGATCTTCCGCCAGATTTTCCGCCATATCTTCCTCGAGATCTTCCGCCAGATCTTCCGACAAATCCCCCGCCAGATTTATCCTCCAGATTTTCCGCGGGATCTTCCGCCAGATTTTCTGCTAGATTTTCCGTCATATTTTTCGCTAGATCTTCCGCCAGATCTTCCGCCAGATCTTCCTCCCTCAGATATTTCCGCAACTATTCCCGAAACATTTCTCCAGATTTACCGCTTTGCAACCGCGTCAAGTCTTCCTGTGGACACTCCCCAGATCTCTGGACAGATTTTTCCCAGATGTTCCTCCTGCTGTTCCAGGGTGTTCCTTGTTTTGCTTCATGTCGCGTCGCGGGTCCGCTTTTTTTAATTCCTACTTTTGTTGTCTGCCTTGCTAATGTTATTTTTTTAAACAAACCTCCCTGTATAATAACAGTAAAACTACGACTAATATTATAAAAACAGTACTAACAATATTACTATTCAGAACAAGAGTAATGATACGAATGCTCACACTAATAAACATCACAATGCTGATGGTACGCATAATACTCATACTAAGAACTAGAAGAGGATGAGGAGGAAGACGAGGAGGCCGCACCCGCCTTTCGCCACTCTCGCACGCCCGACTCCGCCGCGTTGCTGGGCTGATGTCTCGGACCACGCACCCACGGAGGTGGGCAGTACGCCCTGACAGCATCCCTGAGTGGTGCCTGTCGAGCTGGTGGCTGCATCTTCGGAGGAAGAAAAGGTACCGATACCTTTATCATTCGCCCGATCTCCCCTTTTTGGGCCTCCTGGGAGGCCCTCTTCGCCACCGCTGGATTCGCCTTTGCATGCTGGTCAGAACGCACCCCGGGGGAGGTCCGGGGAGTAGCGGTATCAGTACCTTTTGTTTTCCCCATGAGTGGTGCATGTCGAGCTGGTGGCCGCATCTCATCATCAGAGGAGCGATTGTGTGTGTGTGTGTGTGTCTGTGCTGTCAGCTGCCGGCTTCCTGGTACTTCGTCCTCTGTCTCCTTCTCTTCCGCCTCGCCGTTTCCGCTTCGTGCTGCTTCGCCCGCGAAGGCTATTGGAAGGGTGCGTCGTACACCTTCGTTTTCAGTGTGGCGCCGCTGTACCCGCACGAGGCACCTAAGGTGAAGTGCGAGACAAAGATCTACCATCCGAATATTGACCTGCAGGAGCTGTGCAGCGGGGGACAGAACAGACGTCATAGCCATGATGCTAGGACAGGAGGGGCATGATGTGTCTGCTGATAACAGGGAGGAGCGCGGGGATGGTGATGATGCCGACGACGACTATGACGACGATGATGATGACGACGATGGCGATGACGATGAAGATGCTGCTGCTGATGATGATGACGATGATGGCGATGGCTGTGGTGCTGTTGGTGGGCTAGAGGAGGGGGGGATGCGGATGCGAGAGGTCTAGCCTTGTTAATTCAGTTGTCACGACAAGCGCGCTCACGCGCATCGTTTGTCTCAGGTCACAGGCCCATGCACAGCCGCGGGACCACTTTTCATTGCCACCTCACATCCTTGGGAGGAGCAGATGGCGAGGCGGCGGGATTAACTATTCGCCGAATATGCGTGCAGCTGCCCAGTCTGTGCCCCCGTGGGCTCTCATCGTTTTGGCCATCGTTTTGCGCTGCGTCTCCCGTGTCCACTGCCTGTCATTGTGGCTTCGCCTTTTTTAAATTGTGCGCCAACCAGATGAGACTGGTCTTGCACTTAACGTCCGGCCACGGAAGCAACACATCCCTACGGGTAACGACGATGAATATGCCGCTGCTGCTGGTGGTGATGATGATGAAGAGGAGGAGGAGGTGGAGAAGGAGGAGGAGGAGAAGGAGACAGAGGAGGACGAGGAGAGGGAGGTGGAGGAGGAGAGGATGGGGAGTATGATGGTTAGGATGAGGATGGTGATGATGATGCTGATGATGATGCTGCTGCTGATGATGATGACAATGATGATGGTGATGGTGATGGTGATTGTGATGATGATTCTGATGATGGTGGTGGTGGTGATCATGATGATGATTACGATGATGATGATGATGATGATGATGATGATGATGATGATGATGATGGTGATGGTGATGGTGATGAGGATGAGGATGAGGATGATGATGATGATGATGATGATGATGATGATGATGATGATGATGAAATGAGGAGGAGATGATGATGAAATGAGGAGGAGTAGCAGGAGGATGAGGGTGAGGAGGAGGAGGCGGAGGAGGAGAAAAAGGTGGGGAATGGGACAGAAGGAGAAGGAGACGGATGAGGAGTGGGAGAAGGACAACAGGAGGAGGACGAGGGTCCGGAGGAGTTGCAGGATGAGTTGTGAGAGGCTGGGGCAGATAAGATGACGATGCGGAATAACAGGAAGGCAGGACAGATGATGAATGGCGGTGGTGATGAGGATGATGATGGTGCTGCTGTTGCTGATTATGATGATGACGAGGAGGAGGAGGAGGAGGAGCGTTCGCAGGAGATGCTGGATAGGATGACGACGACGATCGTAATGATGACGATGATGATGCTGATGATGTTGATGATGCTGATGATGTTGCTCATGATGGTGATGCCGATGTTTCTGTTCCTGATGGGCCTGGTGATGACGAAGGTGGTGGTGGCGGTGGTGATGAGAATGTCGATGCTAACCAGGATTATGATATGAATGCTGGTGCCAATGGTGACGTTGCTGACGATCATGCTGATGATGATGATGATGACGACGACATCGAGGACGACGACGATGAGGATGAGGATGGTAATGGTGATAGTGAGGGTGATGATTCTGATGATGCTGCTGCCGTTTCTGATGATGAAGCTCAGGATGATGCTGCTGCTGATATGCTGATGATGATGACGATGATGATGATGATGGTGGTGATGTGGAGTATTATACCGATGACGACGATGACGATGATGATGCTGATGATGCTGACGACTATGATGATGGTGATGATTCTGATGACGATTATGATGACGACGCCGACGATGATCTGATGATGATGATGGTGATGGAGATGATGATGATGATGCTTATGATGATGACGATGCTGATGCTGATGATGCTGATGACGGTGATGCTGATGACGGTGATGCTGATGCTGATGATGGTGATGCTGATGTTGAGTATGATGATGATGCTGATGATGATGCTGATTATGACGATGCTGACGATGGTGCTGATGGTCATGATGCTTATGATGATGATGCTGATGATGATGCTGCTGATGCTGTTGCTGCTGATGATGATGACGATGCTGATGTTGCTGATGATGCTGATGCTGCTGATGATGCTTACCATCGTGATGATGATGCTGCTGATGATTATGCTGATGATGGTGCTGCTGATGATGCTGATGATGATATGATGATGATGCTGATGATGATGCTGATGCTGCTGATACTGATGATGATAATAATAATGATGAATATGATGCTGATGATGCTGATGATGCTGATGATGCTGATGATGGTGGTGGTGCTGATGATGATGATGATGATGATGTTGATTATGATGACTGATGATGATGATGATGATGATGATGATGATGATGATGATGATGATGATGATGATGATGATGATGATGATGCTGATGATGATGATGATGATGATGATGATGATGATGATGATGATGATGATGATGATGATGATGATGATGATGATGATGATGATGATGATGATGATGATGATGATGATGATGATGATGATGATGATGATGATGATGATGATGATGATGATGATGATGATGATGATGATGATGATGATGATGATGATGATGATGATGATGATGATGATGATGATGATGATGATGATGATGATGATGATGATGATGATGAGATGATGATGATGATGATGATGATGATGATGATGATGATGATGATGATGATGATGATGATGATGATGATGATGATGATGATGATGATGATGATGATGATGATGATGATGATGATGATGATGATGATGATGATGATGATGATGATGATGATGATGATGATGAGATGAGGAGGAGGAGGGAGGAGGAGGAGGAGGAGGAGGAGGAGGAGGAGGAGGAGGATGAGGAGGTGGGGGAGGAGGATGAGGAGGAGGCTGGCGAGGAAGGACGGGAGGAGGACGATGATAATGAGGAGGACGGAGGGATGGATGGGAGGGGAGGGAGGGAGGGATGGAGGGGAGGAGGAGGTGTGGAGTGGAGCAACCCAAAAGGCGGACCGTGTCAAGGCACCATGGGCCAGCCGTGAGAGCAGGAGTCGTCTCGAGCACTCATTGGCTCAAGGGCCACCCCAGCGCCTCCACGGCTGGAGTCCGCGCGGTCTCGTCCAGACTCTGTGGTTGGAGGCGGCGAGGCTTACCGCGGAGACACGCAAAACGGAGGCTGCAGGCGTCTAGAGCCGATGCGCGCGACCAGTGTGCGAGGCGGCGAAAGCAAAAGTAACGCAGCGCAGTTAACAGCGTTCTAACGATTTCGAGGCCTCACGTAACGACACGCCGCACTCGGTCGTGCCGCCCCGATATGCCACCCGCGGGGCACCACTCCCTCGGGGACAATACGCCCCCACGCACGCCACGGCGGGGGACCGTGACCGTAGGAGGAATTCGCGGGGAACCTCCAATGAGCCCCCCCCCCCCCCCCGCACAGGGGACCCGCGACACCGCCCGAACCCTGGCAGAGTACCAGGTGGGCCATTGCAAGGGTGTCGCAACAAAACGTGGCATAAGCCCACAACCCAGGCGCGGCAACACGGAAGGACAGGTCGCGCATTGGGACCTTGGACTATCACCGCCCGCCGCATTGGCGAGTCGGGAACAGCCCTGCGGCCCCAGGCACGATGCTTCCCCCGTGGCACAGGCTGGGGCGGTCTACGACTACCTTGTTTCTCTCCCCCAGAGTCCCGAAGGAACACCTGTGGTGACGATCGGGGGGCTACCCGCCTGTTTTCCTGGGGAGGGATCCCAGCGGCACAGGTGCCGAGGGGAGGAGGAGGAGGAGGAGGAGGAGGAACACCAGTGTAACCCAGGATTCACCAACGATGTTGGAATCCACTCTCCCTCCAACCTCGCTCTTCGTAGGCCCCATACAAGGGTTCCTTTCCACTGAGGGAACTGCTTCGATTGGGCACAACGGTTTGAAGACCCTGACTGTTGCGTCTCGGTGATCCTGAATCGTGCCAGGGCACCATTCCTGGGACTTCAACCCCGCGAGCCAACGTACTTGTTATGCCCTCGCAGTCCTGAGTCCTGTTAACCACCATTTCTGGTACGCTGGCTATGGGACTCCGTGACGCTTTGGCACCTGTTTAAAGCCAATGTGCACGGCGCTAGGACGAGCGCAACATTTTGAAAACGAAGCGCCTCCAATATGTGAAACTCGTGCAGTTTTTGAAACGAAAGTATACGGCGCTAAGGCGAGAGCCACATTTTGAAAAAGAACCGCCCTCAATCTGCGAAGCTCTTGCAAATGGTGAAAAGGGGAGTGTACGCGGGGCTAAGGCAAGGGCCACATGTTGAAACCGAGCCGCCCTTAATACGTGAAGCTCTTGCGACTGGTTGAAAAGAAGGTGTGCGGCACTGAGGAGAGAGCCACATTTTGGAAGCGACCCGCCCTTCATCTGTGAAACGGTTGCCACTTTTGAAGCTTCAGGGCCGTACATGGTGAGGAAGTCTCAGGCGAAACGCTCAGCCCGCCCGTTCGACGGGCTTCGGGGTGCGACAGGGAAGAGTTGTTTATTAGACGGGATGGAGGAGGAAGAGGATGTGGTGGAGGAGGGGGATGAGACACAGGAGGACCAGGATGGCAGCGTCTGGCAGACACTCGTGCCGCAACTGCCGAATATCAAGGAGGATACTGAGGAGGAGGAGGCCGAGGTGGAGGCGGAGGAGAAGGAGGCGGATGAGACGAAGGCGGAGGAGGCGGGTAAGTCGGACGAGGCGGCGGCGGAGGAGGAGAAGGTATGACGATGACGATGACGATGATGATGCATCTGAAGAATACGGTGACGGTGATGGTGATGGTGATGGTGATGCTGCTGCTGCTGCTGATGATGATGATGATACTGATGAGGATGAGGATGATGATACTAATGATGATGCTGGCGATGATGACGATAACAATGGTGCTGATGGTGGTGATGTGGATGATGACTATATTGATGCTGATCATGAT